TAAGGCCCTGTTTATTCCTGTCTCTTGTCATGCCCTTGCCTCCCACAGATCCATGCATTCTAGAAAACCCTGCTTTGAAGGGTTCCTCTATGAAGCTTTCCCCAGCTCAAGCTGACTTTCTGGGATTGAAACGCAATTTCTTTTTCTTTTCTTTCTTTTTTTTTTAAATTATGATTTGTTATATATGACAGCAGAATGCATTATAATTCATGCAACACATACAGAACACACTTTTTCATATCTCTGGTTGTATATAAAGTATATTCACACCATTCATGTTTCATACATGTATTCAGGGTAATGATATCCATCTCATTCCACCATCTTTTATACCCCCATGCCCCCTCCTTTCCCCTCCCACCCCTCTGCCCTATCTAGAGTTTGTCTAATCCTCCCAGAAATGTAGTTTCTTTAACTTCAGATATGGTTTTTCCTGTCATGGCCAGTCTTAATTTTTGCAATCTGAAAAGTGGCCTTTGAATCATGGTCTAGTACAACTTTCATTTTTGAGTAGTACCTCTGAAGACACAGAAGATGAGTGGTACTGGATGGACTCTAGCATTGAGATTATAGGCAGAATTCTAAGATGGCCCCATGATCTCTGCCCTTAGTGTTACTCCCATGATTACTTTAGGTAATAAGGTCAACTGATATTGCAGAGGTAATCAAAATTACTAATCAGTTGACTTTAAGATAGGGAAACTAGCTGGGATTGTGGCATATGCCTGTAATCCTAGCAATTTGGGAGGCTGAGATAGGAGGATCCTGAATCCAAGGCTAGCTTCAGCAACTTAATGAAGCCCTAGCAACTTAAAGAGACCCTGCCTCAAAATTAAAAAAAAAAAAAAAAAAGATGGGATAGGGATGTAGCTTAGTGGTAAAGTGGCCCTTCTAATCCTGAGAAGGAGGCAATCCACAATTACTAGCCTTCAGGATGAAGCAAGGGGACCATGAGCCATGGAATGTAGATAGTTTCTAGATATATAGAAAGGAAATAGGGTCTCAGTCCTACACCCACAAGGAACTGAATTCTGCCAAACTGAATAATATAAGCAAATTCTGCCGAAAGCCTCCAGATAAGAGCCCAGCCTGGATGACACCTTGAGTTTGGCTTTGTGATATTCCCTTGCAGAGAATCCAGACAAGCACACAGATTTCTGATCTGCTGAACTGTTGCTAACACACAAGTATCATTTTAAGCTGCTAAATTCAGAGTAATTTGTTTTGCAGCAATAGAAAATGAATACAAGAGGCAATACAGGGTTTTAGCTCGTAGTACTATTTTATGAATTGCCTTCTATTCTTATTAAGACTCTAGATCAGCAAAGGAGATTTTCCAATAAATGAGGACACTAGCCTTAGCATGCATGGCCACTGTACAGGCCAGCACAGTGCCCTTTGTCTATGATACCTCACTTTTGTCCATCAGTTTCCCATTGCAGATAGGAGTACCTCAAGGAAAGGCAAGTCTCACTTCCCTATTTACAGTATTTTCAAAAACTGTATAAGAGGTCCCTTGAGCAAGGGAAGGGGACAGGACTGCCGCAGTCTGGCTGGGCACAAAATCAAGAGCCACTCAAGTGGGAACAAACTTTATTATTTTTTGAAACTGCCGCCAATGTCCGGTACGCACCCGGGAAGATTTTTTCCACCCACGCGGCCTCCTCCCGGACCTGCAGAGAGAGCTCCTCCCCCGGAACTCCCTCCTACTGTACTTCCCCAACCAATGTGAACTCTCCAGGAGTCCCGTAGCCGGCCTAGGTGAACAGCAGGAGTCCAATATCCATATGAATGCAAATCTTAACATAATCATATCATCTCAATGGCTAGCTGGCGTCACCTTTCGACCAAAAATGCCATGCATCATATACTTGGCTCTTAGCACAGCATATTTGACCAACAATAGTATCATCTTATTATGTAGTCAGACTTAGACAATTCACCTCTCCTATAAGACTGGGGCAGATTTTGTAGGTATAGACAAAGTTTGGCAGCAGCCAACATATCAGATGATACAACTTATTTATAAAGTACATATAGAGGATCTGATCAAAAAATAGTTCCTGGAGCTGGAATTGTAGATCAGTGGTCACATGCTTACCTAGTACTGGGTTCCATCCTCTGTACCACATAAAAATAAATAAATAAAATAAAGACATTTTGTCCATCTACAGCTAAAAATATATATTTTTTAAAAAAGATAGATACTGAAGGCATTGAGAGGAGAGCAGAAGTTACGATGTCTTCTGCAGCCCAGAATCAGACATGATAGGCAGGGGTGTTATTAATTTAATGGCATCTATTTCTTAGTCACGAAATGTAACACCAGGGGTTAGACACTCATGTGGGATGCTTATGTGTGATTCATAAAAGAATGTGTTCCTTATAAAACGTATTGCTGAATGACTCACCACAGAAAGATGATGAAGATAAAGCTTCTAATTTAAAGAGTTAGGCAAGTGACCGTTTAACAATCAACTTTCTGAGGTATAATTTACATTCAATAAAATGCATGCATTTTAAGTGTACAGTTCAATAAATGTATACACCCATGTAAACACCACCCCAGTCAAAACAGGACACTCTCATCCTTCCAGAAAGCTCCCTCATGCCCTTTCACAGCCAGTCTTTCCACACACTGATCAAAGCAACCGTTTATCTGCTTTCTATCACTATGGCTCGATATTGCCTCTTATAGTACTTCTATTGAATTGTACAGTATGTGCTCTTTTCTGTTAAGCTTCTTTTGCTCATTCTGATGTTTCTGAGATTCATTCTCATTGGTGTATTTGTTAGTGATGGATATTTTTATTGAGTAGTATTCTACTGTGCAAATGACAACTTGTTAGTCATGCATCTATTAGTGGATATTTGTTTCCGGTTCGGGGCTTTCATCAATGAAGTTGCTATGACCTGTCTTGATGTAGACATTGTTCTTGTTTCATTTTGGTAAACATGTAGGAGTGAATACCTAGTGGTTCATACAAGTGTATGTTTAACCTTAAAAGAAACTGTCAAACTGTTTTCCAAAGGGATTGTGCCACATTTTATTCCCAATAGCAATTCATAAGAGGTCTAACTATTCTTCATCTCTTTTACAAACTTGGTATTGACAGTCTTTAATATTACCATCTAATGAATGTGTAGCATATCTTACAGCTTTAATTTTCATTTCCCTGATGACTGATGATGTTGAGTATCTATCTTTTCTTGTGCTTATTGAACATTCATATATCTTCCTTGATTAAGTGCTGCTTCATGTCTTTTGCCTATTCAAGTATAATTAGATTGTATTATTGTTATTAAATTTCAAGAACATATATACACACACACATTTGGGATATAAGTCTATTGTCAGATATGTGCATTCCAAAAATTTCTTCCAGCCGATGGCTGAACTTTTTTTTGGTGCTGGGGACCAGACCAGGGCCTCATGTATGCTAGCTAGCACTCTACCACTGAGCTGCATCCTCAGCCCTAGTTCAGATAATTTTTGTAGATATATTTTCCTGTTTTCATGCATTTCTGATACGATTTTTGGTCTACTGTGGCCATTTATTTATTTTTGGTCATTGAATTTTTTAGTTCCAGAATTTCCATATAGTTATTTTTTATAGTTTAAATTCCTATGCTGAGATTTCTTGCCTTTTCTCTCAGTAAGCCAATAATTTCCTTAATTCACGGAACATATATCATTTAGTTCTTTGAGCCATATTTATAGTACCTAAAGTCCTTGATTTTTAAATACAATATCTCAGCACTGTTGAGATTGATATTTTCTCCTTAATTATGACCATATTTGCATGTTGTTCTTTTTTTCATATCTAGCAAATTTTTATATTATATTTTAGACATTGTTGATTATATATTGTGAAAATTCTAGGCTCTGGACTTTGTTATCTTCTTTTGAGAAATGTTAGCTTTTCTTGTATTAGTTCAATTACTGGCTGATTACCTTGCATTTCCATGGGTTTGTCTTTATGCTTTGCTTGGGTACATCTTCAGCAAGCTCAATATGTTCCCCAAGTCCCTCTATTTTTCCAATGTCTGTCTGCTCTGCAGATCTTTTAAAGGCTTAGTTTTGGACTTTGTTAGGATGAGCCTGGAATGGACCTTACTCTGAAACATGGTCCTAATTCTTTCTGGATCTAAATTAGATGCTTAGTGTGATAATAAATTGGTAACAGAGTCTTTTTATTCTGGCTTGGCCAGAACTTCAGTGTCCACCAGCACTGTTTGATGTCTAGAATCTCCATTCTGTTCTTATCTCAATAGTAAATGTTCTCTGTAGTTACTACAAGCCACAGATAATTTTACCATAAGAATGTGCATCTTACCTTTCAGCCAAGGATTCATAAGGAATCTTCCACACCACTTTTTAAACTCCAGTTCTCCCCACCTTATGCAGCTTCTTTATCTTTTGATGCCTTACTAAATTCCAACTGCTTCAGTTCATCTGAACTCTAATCTTTGTCTCAGCTCAGCAGGACCATTGTGCTTGGTTTAGATTTCAACTTTCTATGATATATTTGGAAAATTGTATTCAGGAAGAGATCTAGGGTATCACTGGGCTATTCTTTATGATTTTCTCCTCTCTCTGAGATTACAATGTTGAGTTTCTTATTGTCCATTGCTTAAAAACAATTGCCTCATGTAGTATTTCTGGTTTAATCATTTATGGAAGGAGAGTTAGTCCAATAACAGTTGCTCCATCACATCTGGAAGTGAAAAATTGCAAGATGTGCTCTTAAAGATTAAATTACAGGGGCTGGGGGTCTAACTCTGTGACAGGTATGTGCTTACTGCTTAGCCTAATTCAATATCCAGCAGGATGGGGGAAAGATTAAAATTACAAAGGAGGAGTCCCTGAACTTCCATTTAAGCTGAAAAAAGAATTTTTAGTAGTCATGAGTTCCAGTCTATGGTTTCTATTCACAGGAAGTCAGTATGGTGAAACAGAATGTAGTTCCTTTTTATTTTTCTAAAAATTGTATGTAATAGCCATCTCTTTTCTCTAAGAAACAAAAAGAAGAGAGATTCAAGATGGTGGAGTCGAGGAAGGCTGCATTCCTAGCTGCTCCGCAGCTCAGGATTCAAGCAGCTGGAGTGCTGCTTCTCAGCAAGGTGAGTGAAGAAGGATTTCACGAAAATTCAATACTGGACAGTCAGAGGATCCTAGGGATTCAGAAATTTGGGTTCACTGAACAAAGAAGAAAGAGCATTGGGGCTGAACTGTTAGCAGCAGCAAAAGCAGTGTTGGTTCACCATAGAGGAGAGGGAGAATAGAGAGAGAAACATGACAGACAGATCTGGTATGGAAAACCTGAGATCAGACAGTGGCCTGAACTTGGCTGAACCAGGGGCTGACTGTGAACTGCTGATTGAAAAGTGCCCTGTTTCTCAACTGGCCACAGAGTACTGAGACAGAGCCAGAGCCAGGAAATCACAGCAAACACTGTCACACTGTCCCAGTAAGTGCCTACCATGTGGCCTAAAGTGTACCTGTGACCCGCAGGAGTCAGGATCGGGGTGTTCCATGGAGTCGAAGAATGAGCACCGAATAAGCAAGCTAGAGTGCCGTTTAAGTCCTACAGCTCTCCTCCTTTAAAGGCAGGTAAGGGGGAGTTGATAAGCTCCTTTTGATTGGTTTTTGATGTTTCAATTATCCCATGGTAGGCGCAGACTGGATTATGGATTATGCAGTTGCTTTCAGCCAGATGGAGATTTATGCACTTTCTGAGCAACAGGAACTGTTTTATAACAGGTTGGGGCATGTTAGGATGGCTGTCCTTGTGTTTGCCCTCTTGTCAACTTTTTCTGTTCCTTCCCTACACTCTACTGCCTTGCCTTTTCTATCTCTTGCTTCCAGAATGTGCATGAAGTAGACACAGAGAGAGCTGGGCACAGTGGCGCAGGCCTGTAATCCCTGCTGCTGGGGAGGCTGAGGCAGGAGGATCTCGAGTTCAAAGCCAGCCTCAGCAATGGGAGGCACTAAGCAACTCAGTGAGATCCTGACTCTAAATAAAATACAAAATAGAGCTGGGGATGTGGCTCAGGGGCAGAATGTCTCTGAGTTCAATCCCTGGTATGGTACCAAAACAAACAAACAAACAAACAAAAAAAAACCCAAAGAAAAAGGCACAGAGAAGATTGTACCCAGGGGCATTCAAGTCTGAAAAACGAAGGGGAACCCAACTTGCTTCTCCTTTGAGTCAGGCGATTCACATGATCAGCAGAAGAGAGCCAGGAATCTAAACAGATGGGTGAGAATACTCTCAAGATCTAAGCTTGGGAAGGCTGGGAAGGCTGTATTGGAGGGCAGCAGGGTGTGTGGAGGATTGGCTCCCCTGTCCCATGAGTAGAATTCTTGGGAGGCTCTTGAAATCCAGACTCCTGACAGAGATTGGCAACTGCTAAACTATAGGGGTAGGTTGATCTAATCCCTCCAGATCAGACACTGGCCAACAAAGCCTCTGAAGCTAGATTAGAACTAATCCCCAGGCCCTGGAACTCCCCTAATAGACATAGAATTCAGCATCAGCTCCTACTTGGGAATGCATTGATCTGATCTTTGCAGACAAAACTCCAACTGAAAGTACTTCCTATTCCATCCTACCTCATACTGTGAGAAGGGAAGCTAAGAATTATTTGAACAGCTTCAGGGTTAGGCCACTCTAACTGGCAATTCAGTGAGCAACACAAAAAGAGGAAGGGGTTAACAACCTCCATCCCTTGATCTTGCTCTCAGGACATAGCCCAAGAAGAAATGGAAAGGAAGACAATTGGGCATAGACAGTGACTATCATCGGCTATACCAATCACCTCAGTGGAGATGATTTTCTCATTTTTATTAAGAAAAAGCCCTACATATAACAGTGGAAGAGAAATCCATCCCAACAATGTGTAAATCTCAATACAGGTATCTAAGAAATATGAAAAAAACAGGGTAACATGATGTCTCCTATAGTTTAAAATTCACTACCACCTTACCCAAAAGATATCGCAGTGGATAAATACCAGATAAAGAATTCAAAAGAATGATTATAAAAATGATCAATGATTTCCAAAAGAACACAGGAAAATAACAGAATGAATTAAGGAAGTCAGTACAGAGTACGAATAAGAAGTTAAAAAGAGCCAAACAGAAATCTTGGAAATGAATACAATAAATCCAATATAATATTCAGTTGAAAGTCTAATAGAGTAGACAATATTGGAGACACAATCTCAGAGTTGGAAGACAAAGCGGTCAACTTTGAAAATTCAGACAATGTACTTTTTAATATTTTATTTGTTCTTTTTAGTTATACATGAGCAGTAGAATGTATTTTGAGATATTATACATAGAGTATAACTTCCCATTCTTGTGGTTGTACATGTTGTGGAGTTACACTGGTTGTGTATTCATATATGAACACAGGAAAATTATGTTCAGTTCATTCTATTGTCTTTCCTATTTCCATCCCCTCATCCCTTCCTTTCATCCCCTTTAATTTAATCCAATTAACTCTATTCTTCCCTCCTCTGCTCTTATTATGTATTAGCATCTGCATATCAGAGAGAATATTTGGCCTTTGGGTTTTTTGGGGGATTGGCTTATTTCACTTAGCATGGTAGTCTCCATTTCTATCGATTTACCAGTAAAAACCATAATTCCATTCTTCTTTAATGTTGAGTAATATCCTACTGTGTATATTACCACATTCATCTGTTAAAGAGCACCTAGGTTAATTCCACAGCTTAACTATCATCAATTGAGCTGCTATAAACATTGATGTGGCTGTATAACTGTAGTATGCTGATTTTATGTCCTTTGGGTATAAACTGAGGAGTGGGATAACAGGGTCAAATGGTTGTTACATTCCAAGTTTTCTGAGGAATCTCCATACTGATTTTCATAGTGGTTGCATCAATTTGCAGTTCCACCCACGATGTATGAGTGCACCTCCCCCACCCCACCCCCCTGCATCCTTGTCAATATTTATTGTTACTAGTTTTCTTGATAATGACCATTCTGATTGGAGTGAAATGAAATCTCAGTGTGGTTTTAATTTGTATTTCTCTAATTGTTAAAGATGTTAAACATTTTTCATACAGTTGTTGACTTTATTTCTTTTTCTGCAAAGTGCTGGTTAAATTCCTTTGCCCATTTATTGATTGGGTTATTTGTTTTTTTTGTTGTTGTTGTTGTTTTGTTTTTGGTGTTGTTTGAGTTCTTTATATATCTTGGAGATTAATGCTCTATCTGAGGTGCACACAGTGGCAAAGATTTTCTCCCATTCTGTAGGCTCTTTCTTTATGTTCTTGATTATTTCCTTTGCTGTGAAGAAGATTTTTAGTTTGATACCATCCCATTTATTGATTCTTTATTTTACTTCTTTTACTTTAGAAGTCTTATTGATGAATTCAGTTCCTAAGCTGACATGATGGAGAGTTGGGACTACTTTTAATTCAGACAATATTAAAGGAAAAAAAGTAACCATGATAGGAATATACAAGAACTCTGGGTCAACATTGAGAGACCACATTTAAGAATCACTGGAAATGAGGAGTGTTATGAGATGCAGGCTTATGGAGTGGATAACCCCTTCGGGGAAATAATAACAAAAATTTGAAACTTCAAGAATGAGATGGACATCTAGATACAGGAAGCATTCAGAACCTCAGATAGACAAGGTCAAAACAGAACCTTTTCATGACACATTATAATTAAAATGCCTAACATACAGAACAGGAAGAATTTCTGAAAGAAAATAAGTGTCAATCAAGATTACTATCTACAAAACAGATATTTAAAAGTCTAAAAGGATATTAAAACCTTCCAAGACAAGCAGAAATTAAAAGAATGAGCGACTATTAAGCCAGCACTATAGAACTTAAAGAAATGTTTGACTCAGAGGAAATAAAAACAACAACAACAAAACCCCAGTGCTTACATGTGAACAATTCTCACTGGAAGAGTAGCTAAGCAAATGAGAAACAGGACCAAATTAAACATTATAAATAAATCAAAATGGCAGGAATTAATAAACCTCTCTCTCAGTAACATTGAATGTAAATGTTTTCAACTCACCAATTGAAAGACACAGGCTAGAAGATTGGGTTAAAAAACTAGACCCAACTATATATTGTTTGCAAAAGATGTATCTTACAGACAAAAACAATCACAGGCTAAAAGGATGGAGATTAATATACCATGTAAATGGAGTCCCCAAACAAGCAGGAGTAGCTACTCTCATTATGACAAAGATTACTTCAAACTGAAATTAATGAGAAGAGACAAAGCATGTCTCTTCATAAAGTGAATGATCCAAAAAGAATATATAACAATGATAAATATTTTTCCCTAAATGTGGGTGAGGCTAGTTACATAAAAAAAGACACTACCTTAAGGAAGCCACAGATAGACCCTGGTGATTTCAATGTCCTTCCCTCACCAATAGTTGGATCATACAGATACAGGAAAGACTCTTTGGACCTGAAAAATATTATAAATCAAATGAACTCAAAAGATATCTATAGAATGGATAGTTCATCCAACAAAAGTTGAGTACATTTTCTTCTCAGCAGCTAATGGAATTTTCTTCAAAATAGAACATACTTTAGGTTACAAAGCAACTCTTAGCAAATACAAAAAAGTAATATAATTCCTTGCATCTTCTTTGACCATAATGGAATGAAAATAGAAATCAACACAATAAAAACCTTCAGAAACTATGTAAACACGTGGACATGGAAAAATACACTTTTGAATGATGAATGGGTGATAGAAAAAAATCAAGGGAGAAATTTAAAAGTTCTTAGACTCAAATAAGAATAGTGATACAGCATACCAGAACCTCTGGGACACTATAAAGGCAGTTTTAATAGGAAATTTTATGGCTATAAGTGCTTACATAGGAAAATCAGAGAGAATCCAAATAAACAATCTACTGATGCATATCAAGCCACTTGAAAAAGAAGAGCAATCAATTCCACAACTAGTAGAAGGAAGGAAGCAATTAAGATCAGAGCCCAAATCAATGAACTTGAGAGTAAAACAAACAATACAAAAATCAATGAAGCAAAGTGTTGGTTCTTTGAAAAGATGAAAGATGAACAAGGTTGATAAACGCTTAGCCAAAGTAACAATAACAACAACAAAGAGAGAGAGAGAGAGAGAGAGAGAGAGAGAGAGAGAGAAGACCCAAATTAATAAAATTAGAGACGAAAAAGGAGAAATCACTACAGGCCTCACAGAAATAAAGCAGATCATTAAGAACTATTTTGAAAACTTACACTCCAATAAATTGGAAAACCTAGAAAAAATGGGTATGTCTCTAGACACAATCTGCCAAAATTGAATTAAGAAGACATAGAAAACCTAGGCATACCAATAAGTTGTAATGAGATAGAAGTAGTAATAGAAAATCTTCCAAAAAAGAAAAGGCCAAGACTAGATGGATTCTCAGCTAAATTCTATTACAACTTTAAAGAAGAAGTAAATTATTTCATAAAATATAGAGGAATGGAACATTTCAGAATTTATTCTATGAAGCCATATCACACTCATACCAAAACCAGATAAGGACACATCAAAGAAAGAAAATTACAGATGAATATCCCTGATGAACATAAATCCAAAAATACTTAATAAAATATTAGCAAGCCATGTTCAACAACATATTTAAAAGATTATAGGCCACAACCAAGTTGGTTTTATTCCAGAGGTGCAAGGATGGTTTAATATACACAAATCAATAAATGTAATTTGTCACATAAATAGAATTAAGGACAAAAATCACAGACATTTCAATAGGTGCAGAGAAGGCCTTTGACAAAATTCAGCATTCATTCATGATAGAAAAACACTGAAGAAACATGGGATAGGTGAAACTTGCCTTAGGCTGGGTTTGTAGCTCAGTGGTCAGGCACTTGCCTAGCATGTGTGAGACACTGGATTGATCCTCAGTATCACATAATAATAAATAACTGAAATAAAGTTACTGTGTCCATATACAAATAAAAAAAGTTAAAAAAAGAAACATGCCTCAACTTCATAAAGATTATACATGAAAAACCCAAAATCAAACCCATAGTAATTGGTGAAAAGCTAAAAGCATTTCCTTTAAAATCTGGTAAAATAAAAGGATGTCTACTCTTACCATTCCTAACACATTCTTAGAAATTCTAGCCAAAGCAATTAGGCAAGAGAAGGATATAAAAGGGATAAAATTGGATAAGAAGACATCAAATCATCACTGTTTGCAGATGATATGATTCTGAATTTACAAGATCCAAAAAACTCCACTAAAACACTGTTAGAACTAATAAACAAATTCAGCAAAGTAGAAGGTTACAAAATCAACATAAAAAACCAATAGCTTTCTTATATGCTAGTAATGAATCTTCTGAAAAAGAAATCAGGAAAACAATTACATTCACAGTAACAAAAATATTTAATAATAATAAAAAATACCTAGGAATAAATACAGCCAAGAAGGTGAAAAACCTCTACAATGAAAACTATTGAGCCAGGTGTAGTGGTGCATGCCTGTAATCCCAGCAGTTCAGAAGGCTGAGGCAGGAAGATTGTGGGTTCAAAACTAGCCTCAGCAACTTAGCAAGACCTTAAGCAACTCAGTGAGACCCTACAAAAAAGAGCTGAGGATTGGCTCAGTGGTTCAGTGCCCCCGAGTTGAATCCCTGGTATCAAACAAACAAACAAAAACCAAAAAAAAGCTATAGAAAATTGAAGAAAGAACTTTAACAAGACCTCAGAAGATGGAAAGACTGCCTATGTTCATGGATAGGCAGAATTAATGCTAAAATGGCCATAGTACCAAAACAAATATACAGATTCAATGCAATACTCATCAAAATTCTAGTGACATTCTTTACAGAACTAGCACAAAGAATCCTAAACTTCATTTGGATTTATAAAAGACCTAGAATAGACAAAGGTATTCTAAGCCAGAAAAGCAATGCTGAAGACATCACAATACCTGCCTTCAAATTATACTATATAGCTACTTCATGATACTGGTATAAAAACAGACATGTAGACCAATGGTATAGATTAGAAGGCAGAAACAAATCCATACATCCACAGTCATCTGATCCTTGACAAAGGTGCCAAAAACATACTTTGGAGAAAAGTCAGGCTTTTAAACAAATGGTATTGGGACAACTGGTTATCCTACATAGAAGAATGAAACTATACCCTTATCTCTCACTTGGCACAAAAGACAATTGAAACCATGCCAGTACCATGAAGTAGCTATGCAGTCAATTAAAACTGGATCAAAGGACTTAGGATTAGACCAGAAACCATGAGGCTCCTAGAAGGAAATGTAGGGTCAACACTCCAACTTTTAGACACAGGCAATGAGTTTCTCAATAGGACCCCTATAAAGCCCAGAAAATAATAGAAAGAGTTAATAAACAGGAAGGCATCAAATTAAAAAGCTCTGCACATCAAACAGTGAGGAATGTGAAGAGAGAAGCTACAGAATGGGAGCAAATCTTTGCTAGTTACCCTTCTGATAAAGGATTAATATATAGAACACATAAAGAACCCCCAAAATTTAACTCAAAATGCCAAATAACCCTATTAATAATTGGGCAAAAGAATTAAACAGACACTTCTCAAATGAAGAAGTACAAATGGCCAACAAATATATGAAAAAGTGTTCAACATCAGGAGCTGGGAGTGTGGCTCAGTGGTAGAGCACTTGCCTAGCATGTGTAAGGCACTGGGTTTGATTCTCAGTACCACATACAAATAAATAAAATAAAGGTACATGGACAACTAAAAATATTTTTAAAAAATGTTAAACCTAATTAGCAATTAGGAAAATGAAAATCAAAGCTACACTGAGATTTCACCTCTCACCAATCAGAATGGCAGTCATCAAAAAAACAGAAAAAATAAATGCTAGAGAGAAAGGAACACTTTTACACAGTTGATGGGACTGTAAATTAATACAACCACTATGGAAATCAATATGGAGGTTCCTCAAAAGACTGGGTATGGAACCACCATATGACCCAGCTATACTACTCCTTAGTATTTATCCTTAAGAATGAAAGTCATCATATTATAGTGACGCATGCATACACATGTTTATAGCAACACAATTCACAATAGCCAAACTATGGAATCAACCTAGGTGTCCATCAACAGATAAATGGTAAAGAAAATAAATGCAAGATATATACAGTGAAGTTTTATTCAGGCATAAATAAAAATAAAATTATGTCATTTGCAGAAAAATGGATGGAACTAGAGACCATTATGTTAAGTGAAATTAACCAAACTCAGTTCAAGGGTTGTTATGCTTTATATGTGGAAGCTAGAGAAGAAAAAGTAAAAGAAAGGTGCAGAGGGGTGGGGAATCTCATGAAAATCAAAAGAAGATCAGTAGAGGAAAGAGACCAGTGACCAGCGGTTGGGAAATAGAGAGGGAGTGGGGAAGGGCTGGGGAGTGATACTGACCAAATTACATTGTTATATTGTGTGCATGTACAAATAGTAACTACAAATACCATCATTATGAATAACCGTAATGCACCAATAAAAAACCTGTGTAGAGAAAATAAAAAAAAGAAAAAGGAGGTTTGTAAAAATAATGGCAGTAGTAAAAACTTAATGTTCCAGTGCTCTCCTTAAATTTTATTTGTATTAACCAATTTATTCTTTTTAATAACCTAGTTAATTACTAATTAATTCATAGTTACCAGTTAGTACCTGAAGATTGATTACTAATCAATAATCCTATTTACAGATGTGAAAATTGAGGAACATAAAGGCTAAATAATTTTCCTGAAGTGACCTATCTGGTACAGGTAGGTATGGGAAGACTATGGTAAAACCTTTGTCAGTTTACATTGTAGAAATGCTACAGAGCAGGGCTGAGATTATGGCTCAGTGGTTACAGCCACAGCATGCATGAGGCACTGAGTTTGATCCTCAGCACCACATAAAAATAGATAAATAAAATAGAAGTATTGTGTCCATTTATAACTAAAAAAATTGGGGGGGGGAAAGAAATGCTATATAGCATAAAAGGTCTTAGAGAAAAACAGGAAATATGTGAATTATGGGCAGGCATATTTGCGAGGCACTCACAAGCTCATGAATTTGAATGTATGCATGATTATGTGAGAGCAACTGATTCAGGGTCTTCTCAGATGTTCTTTGCCTTGGATTCAACCTTTCCACCTTCAACTAGAATTTAGCCTCAGTATCCAGCCTCAGGGAAGTTTGTTATATGTTTTCAAAAAATGCCCTTCTCTCTTTTGTTCCTATCACAATTGTAATTAAATTAATATAAATGTTTACTGGTAGATTTGTGAGGCACTCACTTTGTTGTCTTTTCTTATAGACTTAGGTTCCATGGATTCTGTTTCCCACCATGTATCCAGCACCTAGCATGGTTTCCAGCATGGAGCATGCACTTAGCAAGTATTTGCCCAACATTAAGTAGGTTTCCCTTCTCAGATTCCTATAAACTTGATCACAGAGCATTCCGTACATATATTTGCCTTTTCATCCTATTAAAAAATTTGTACAGTAAAATATACCCATTTTGGTGTACAGGTTTATGAGTTATAACAAAAGTAGAAAATTATAAAATCACTATCACAATCAAGATATAGAATAGTTCATCTCTTTACCCAAAATTCCCTCTTGCTAAAGCTTTGGAGTCAAATTTTACCCCCAAACTCAATATTTGGCAACCACTGAGAATTTTTTATTTTACATTACCCTGAACTCTTTTTTCCGTTTCTATCCTGCTTTGTCTATTTTTCAACTGTCTTACTGCTTGCTTAGCAGTATTCCTGAATACTGTATCCGAGAAGTGAAACAGAATTTAGACGGTTGCCTTACTTATTTGTGCACCACATAGAATCATTTGAGCAAGTAATATGAATACCTGGAAGAATGAGATGAGGATCATAAGGTCACCTAGGTTTTTGTTCAAAGCCTACTATCTCTCCACTTTTAAGAGCTCAGATCTGTATGCATCACTATTTCACTACCCCTGTTTAATTCATGCTTCATGATCTTGTCCAGTACCCTGCAATGGACTTCATACTGTTTTCCATGTATCTAATTTTTCTTTTCTTATATTCAATCTCTACATTTCACCCAGAGTGAAGTTTCTAAAATTGTGAGGCTTTTTAAAGTTCTCCATTGAGATTTAGCATCTTAACATATAGTTCACAGCTCTTCATGAGGCCCCTTCTTTCTTCTCCAGACCTATTTTTATTGGATCATGGCCTTTGCACTCTATAATACTGTTCTGGCAGTCCAGAGTTATTTGATAATTTCCAATAGTGCCTGAGTGCCTTTGTTCATGCTGCCCTGAAAGTCTTCCCTTTCTTTATCTGCCAATGCACCTGCACATTATTGAAGATGAATACTTAACTGTTATCTCCTGCTTTCTGACAATTCCCTCTTTTGTCTCCAAACTTACCTGCCCACCCACCTGCCATAGCACCTATAATTCCTTACAACATACGATGCTCATGTATTGATTTCCTAATTAATAGAAACAAAGCCCTTTGTGGTAAGTTTATTACACATCTTTGAATCTCCAGTGTAGGTGCTCAATAAATATTTGCTGAATGCATCAGTGAACAAAGTTTTTAACTGTATTGTTAGCTGAGCACTTGAATAATTTTCATTAATCTGTTTAATATGTAGTTTTTGGTGTTTAAGAAACTTTTTTGATCAAGTACTTTCTTTTTTCACGAGAAGCTAAAGATCCTATTTTGAAGTTCTCTCCAGTCTTCTATTAGACAGGGTGCATCGATGTGTGACCTTGTCAGTTGGCAGTATTTCAACTGGGCTTACCCATAGCTGTCTGCTTGCGTATAGAAACTCAGTTTGCAACTGTGGAAATGAAAAAGGGAAAAACAGGGGATGTCGAAAGGGGATGAATTTCCCATTAGGGCTCACTGGCTTTGAACTTCCTCTCCATTTTGAGGCTTAGAGTAGAGTCAGTGTTATCACTGTGTCCTCAGGTCTGCACTGGTTACAAGTCACATTATTGTTTACCCCTTTATCTATGGTGTTGTTTTCATTGCCATATTGACTTTATGGACTTTCACCCCGGGGATCTTAGTCTTAAAGTGTTTGGCTTCAAGATATTTGCCATGGAAGTGGGAATTTAGTCCTCTCTTGTAAAAGATATTAAACCCCTAAAAAAATTCTAACTAATCATGTCATTCCATTGTCAAACAAAACAAAAACAAAAAGACCTAAGTACTGACAAAGGAAAAAGCTACCTTATTTGTGACTAGCTAGCACCTGACCTTAATTTGGGTCAAATGAGGTGAAGATATAGACATGCTTCTCCTTCTCCCACCTGCCAAGAAAGTTTTACTCAGGGTTTAGGTCAAGGACTCATTTGGGTAGAACCTAAAGTTCAGACATAACCTCTCTTGTCTGCAAAATGACTATGGTGTTGAAGCTATTGGAGCCAGACACAGAAGAGTAAAAATTTCATGGTTTTTGGACTTTGAGCATGTCATTCATTCTGCCTGGACTTTGTGTTCTCATTTGTGAAGTGTTACCACCTATAATTTATGTGTATTGAATGATAACAAATGTAAAATATCTGGTGTACAAGAGAGACAAAGTTGTGTGCTTCTGCTGTGGGTAAGTGGAATTTTTATAATGCTATTAAAATTGCTCTCCATTGCTGATTGCAGTCTTCTAAAGTAGGATGGACAAGATACTAGATTTAATAGAGGACTCTGAGACGGAAAAATGAATCTAATTTGGAAAAGCTGGCAAAAGTGGTTAAAAGACAACAACATGGAACAACTCTTTTCACAGAGAATATCCTGTATGTCTATACTCCAGTGAAGGCAGGTGTTGGCAACAACCAACTTATTTTTCATTGTCCTTAAAAGCTCAGGCCTAGCCAGGCCTGGTGGAGCATGCCTGTAATCCCAGAGGCTCGGGAGGCTGAGGAAGGAGGATTGCAAGTTCAAAAGTCAGTCGCAGCAGCAAATTAGTGAGGCCCTAAGCAACTCAGTGAGACTCTGTTTCTAAAAAAAAATACGAAAAAGGTCTGGGGATGAGGCTCAATAGTTCAGTGCCCCTGGGTTCAATTCCTGGTACCAAAACCAAAACAAACAAACAAACAAACAAAAAACCCTCAGGCCTTTTTGCATCTCTCAAAAGGATAAATTCTTTAAAACATGCAGACATAACTTGTTGTGTTTTGTGCAAATTAATTTTTCATAAACACATTTTGTTTTATTGTTTTCACATGACTCCCTGCAGTTCATATTATAGCACTTTTTCCCAAGCCTAATTTTTTACCTTTCCTGTCTGCCCCTAAATCTTGTCTACAACTCCATCTGTGCTTCCCTTGCTATACCCGACCCCAACCTCCCACCCTATGCATACATTATTGTAGAGGTATCCAGAGTTGATAACGTCTCACCATAATAATAAAAATAACTTTAATATAAACCTCTTTATAAACTGATTTCGTAGTCGTGATTTAGTTTACTCCTCCTAATAACCCTGTGTGATAGACATCTCACTTCTGAGAATGAAGAAATGAAAGTTGAGAGGGGTGGCAAAGCAAATAATATTAGATCATGGCATGGCTCATCTTATTTTTATTTTGTTTTGTTTTATTTTGGTATTGGGGTTTGAACCCAGGAGCACGTAACCACTGTATCACATTCCCAGCCCTTTATATACTTTTTATTTTGAGACAGGGTCTCACTGATTTGCTTAGAGCTTTGCTAAATTGCTGAGGCTGGCTTTGAACTCACCCATCCTCCTGCCTCAGCCTCCCAAGCCACTGGGATCACCACAATGCCCGGCCTCATCTTAGTTTTTATTAATCATCTGCTTTATTTATTTTAGAATATTTTCTCCTTTACAGAGAAAAATTCCATATTGACCAATGGGTCTTGCAATCTGCATTTTAAAAGTCTTGATTCTAAGCACTGTGTTAATTAGGATAGTACTTTATGGAGATTCTTGTGTGTATGTCTATGTTAGGATGGTCAGAAAAGGGAAATTGTTTTTGTAGTTAAGAAACTGCTTAGTATCAAAAAAAAAAAGAAAAGAAAGGAGAAGGAAATATATGTTTTTAATACAAAAAGAGAGAACATTTGAGTTACTAAAATAAAACATAATTTGAATAATTATGAGTCAATAATCCATAGGAGTCTATAATCTTGCTCCTGAGATCCCCTGAAGGCTATTCTAGAACCTTGCTCAGCATCTAGTAGAAAAAAGAAACAAATACTATTTTGTCAGTTCCCTGTTGTGGTTGTGAGACACATTTTATGTAATAAAGTGCTATTTAAAGTATGAGCTGCAATTTTATACAGCTGACTTTACTTAATTCTAAAGAAAAAAACATTGAACACTTGGTGGAAACTTATGGTGCTGTAGTTTTTACTCCACAAGTTATTTAAACCTCACAGTGCTTCCAAGAGACTGGTTAATATTTTTCTTTTTGTTACAAAAGGAGTCCAAATATAAATAATAATAACAAACGTAATAATACTGTATTTATAGTTTTTCTCTCTCTCTGTGTGTGTGTGTGTGTGTGTATATATATATATATATATATATATATATATATATATATATTTACACTTGAAACTCAGTTTTAATATTAACAGAATTGAGTTGGAGTGCCTATTAGACTAGCAACTTAGGAGGCTGATGCAGGAAGATTGCCATCCTTAAAGCCATCCTCAGCAACTTAGTGAGGCCCTAAGCAACTTAGGGAGATCCTGTGTCAAAATAAAAAATAGAAAAAGCTCAGGAGATAGCTCAATGTCCTTGAGTTCAATCCCTGGTACAAAAGAATTGAGTTGGAGTGGAAACAAAGGAAAAGGCATACTCTGTAGTGCTATAATGCTTTATGATTATTTTGAGTTAAGTTAAACTCTCATTTGGATTGGTGACTGAATGACAGGTACTCTTTTATCTGAAGAACAAGAAACTACAGTTGCCAGTGCAGAGCTACGAAAACTAGCCATTAACACATTGTCTTTCCACTCTTTTATCTCTGTTTGACATATTTATACCTTTCTCACAGGTGCATACACACTATATAACCATGGTCAACTCTAAAGTGACATTTTCTTTTTGACAAACACATCTAAACTCACATATCCAAATGCAGCCTGTGCTCTTCAAAATGCAAGCACATTTCAATATCATTGTATTTTCCAAGCTTTGAGAATTTTGTTTTTTGAGGGGAGCTTTTTGGTTTTTAATATTTTTATGATTGTTGACTTTTGCTCCTATTTGATTTTTGGAAACAGCTGAATGTCATTTGAAGCCAAGAGTAGATGACCGCCAGTGAGTAACATCCATTGTGGTAGAACATGATCTGAATGCATGACCAATCTTGCCTGAGCAGCTCCCATTTCTTGTTGCTCTAATCCTTTTTATAAAGAGCTGTCAGAATCAACTTTTTAAAACTGAGCTCCAGTGAAGATATTTTCCAATCTCAATGCTTCTTCTTTGCAGAGTAGAAATGTCAAGGTCCTTCCTGATTGAGCTCAACCTCTCTTAAAAGACTTACTTTACATGATACTGCCACTAACTCTGGTTACCTGTGCTGAACTACCTGACTTTCAAAACTTTCCAACTCTGTGCCTTCATCTAGGCTGTTCCTCATGGGAATAGCCTCTTTTGAATTCTTACCAATTTTTATGCAGTATTCTTTTATTCCAGAAAAATTTTAATGTGGTCTTCTTCATTCCTGCTGAATTTCTATTTGTCTTGAGGATGCCCAGGGTGCCGGTTCTCATATCTTCCCAATTATAAATTACTTGTTCTGAGGTTTCAGAGTATTCTGTGTTGCCTTCAATCTTGTAGTATTGCTACTAGATTCTAAGTGTTTGGTTATATTCCTTGGTTTCATAGGATTAGAATTTAGCAATGACTTGTGCATCATGCATTTGGGATTGTTTTTAGTACTAATCCTGAAGACAATTTCAAAGGGACTTACAAAAGTATTTTGAGTAATGGGTATAGCTTTCCAAGGATATTTTTAAGATAATGCTCATTGGTGTTTACATGATATATTCAAGTTTTTTTTCTTTTTCTGATTTCATCACTTTCTTGTCTACTTGTTATATGACTTTGAAAATTCTCCTATAAAGGACAGGTTATATATTCATCATGCTTCAATCTGGATGCCGAAGTGATGCTATGTGATGTTTCTGCCTCTTTTTCTTGATGCACAGGAGGCCATCTACCATGGAGTGAAGAAGCTCAAGTAACCTGTGAAAAGGACCATGTAAAGAGAAATCAAGACACTTGGTCTGCAGTCCTGGCTGTGGACCAAGTGCTGCCCATGCATGTGAGCCATTTTAAAAGTGGAATCTCCATCTCCTATTTAATGCACCATGGAGCAGAGATGAGCTGTTCCCAACTGGCTTCCAAAATTATACATTTTTGAGCACAAGTGATTTTTTTTTGTTTTAAGGCACTAAACTGTGGAGTGGTGTCATGAAGCATTAGATAACCAATCCATTTTGTTTATAGATCATAGAACACAAAATTTT